TCAGTTGACCGTTGTAGGGAAAGCCAAACGGTCTCCAGGTCAACAGGACGGTGGCTTCTACAAGCTGAACTGAACAAGTTTTTAGCTACCTCTGCAATCCTGACTTTCTCATTACCATCCTCGAGTTAATATATATGGATCGGTTTATTATGTTCCCAACAGTTTTTTTCCACTATGTTCACTTGGTTCCTCGATAGCGGACTTGCAGGAAGCAGTCTAATAGTACCACTACTCACGGACAAATGATATCAAAACGCAACTTTAGGGCGCTCAAAAGTGGTTGATAATCAAGAGATATTTCGCACCCTGCGCCTCTGTTTAATACAGCTTAGGGAAATCCGTGCAGTGTGTGAAAGCCTCTGCCCATTGCATAGGTAACTTACTTGGTTTGCAGCCGTCCAACCCGGCGTCGTCGAAGGAACCCAAAAGTGAGTCAGTGGAGGTACTAGTAAACTTCGGCAATATTTTAACGATCATTACCCATTTATCCACTGGTCTGATTCCAATCTGCTGCTTAATCTTGGCTAGTTCATCGGTTCCTCTACACCTAACTTGGATCTCCTAGTCTTTACAGTAACCTGTCAGGCTATCATTCGAGAAGCCGGCTTTCGGCAAAATGCCCTTAATAACCACCGTGAGGTATATGGCGTTTCTAGGTGACACCTTTGTCAGACAACTCGGAGTGAAACTTGATCGCTAAATCTGGTCGTACGGTAGCAACTACTTTTATCGTTGCTAATTTTTGAGAAAATTTTACAATGCACCTGAATGAAAACCAACTACGAAAGTAGAATGGCGCTCCCAAACAGATAAGTAATTTAAGTGACTCACGTCAGGTGTAGTTCCACCGCAAACTTAGGGTCGTTCATCGACCACAAGAGAGGGGAAGTTACGCGCCATGGATAGTGTACGCTGCACAGAGGCTGACACTTTTCACTCACATCTTCCTGCGGAAAATTGGAGCATTTTGTGTTTGCTTTCCTTAATTTCGTCTTAGAACAAGAAATCAGGGATAGAAGAAAAGCCGTCCTAGTTTGAGTTTGACGCGATGTCCATTTGCAAACAAGCATTCCCTCAGTATGTTTATCTGATTACTTGCCTTCCAATCCATCGGGATTGCTAAAATGTCTACGTTAGGGTGTTTTCAGTCAGTAATGTTACATACCAAGACGCCCAGTGATGTGAAGTAAAAGGTCTGAGAATGATTAGTGCCACCGCCACATTCTGGATTCCAGTTGGGGCGTTTGTAGCACAGGCCCTTCATTCTGATCTAACACGTAAACTGAGGGTGCTAGACTCGACCGTTCTTCACACCTCTATATTAACCTAATCCGTTCCGCTTCCCCCGGAATCATTTTCAGATTCTCAAAGATGTCAAGTTCCCTCTGGAATTGGATCTGTTTAGCTTCTGTTCTGAAGCACTACAGAAGGACCTCATCCCTATCCGAGAAAAAATGCGGCAACAAGCAGATTACGAGGTCCATAGCTTTTCAAAGGAACAAAAAACTGCCACTTCAACAAAAGGTTAGACCGTGGAATGTTTCATAAATTTTTATGGCATGCTTTTCAAATATATAGTGGACAGCCTAGCTTATTCTTTCAAGTCCATTGCGTCTGATCGACTAGGCACTCATGCGAGAGTGGGCTGTTTTGGGTGTTTTTTTATGGAACCATCAAGGTGTGATCTGACTCATTTATTCCGGACTGGAATGAATTCCTACATATGCACTTTCCATAACTATCCGAATCAATTGACTTGGTTGACTGGTGTTTCACACAGGTTGTGGCCTGGTAGCACTAATGTACGATGTTCGTTAACAAGAAAAACCTGTAACACTCGAAAATCGAGTCTGGCTACAATAGTGGTTGACCCTTCGTATGTTTGTTTCAACAGCCACATAGACGTGGATTTCCTTTCTGTCCTTTGAGTGATTTTCTCATGGATATCTTCCGTGTAGGAAGACTTTCACACGGTAATGGTAGTATATGGGTATGTGTGATCTAGACTGTAGTGAATAATGAAGTTGCACAACTTTATATACTTCTATCTTCTTCAGATAGCCGGCAGCTGTACTTGTCTGAGTTATCACTAGGGCCATGGTGCACTGATTTGTCGTATCCATGCAGTAATCCAATGACTGTACCGAAAAATACAGCATATTTTATTTCGTTCAACAGCGCGAAGGGCTCGAGAGCTCAGACCACTATTCCAGGCGAATATCGGTTTGTCCTGGGTCCCTCCCACTGGCATTATAGGACCCATCTGTTGCAGTTTCCACTTCTTCGTAGATTTATAGTAGTAATATGTTTTACTTCATGTTTTACCATAGCTTGTTTATCTTCTTTTATCTGCTTCTAAACACGTGATGTGCCTCATCGGATTACCTGTTTTCCTTTTCTATCGAATCAGATTCAAAGTGTCCAAATCCGGCAAAAAATCCAGAACTTTTTGAACCATATTCACTACCTGATGATGTGGGTTCTAATAACTCGGGTTTCTACGAACTCATGGGCGTCCTGAGTCATCAAGGACGAACTAGCTCTAGCGGCCATTATGTTGCTTGGGTCAAGGTTGAGGGTAAGTTCGTCGAGTCACTCCGGTATTCCACATCACCATCCACGAAGACGATGTGGAATACCGTGGGATCAGACAGAAGCTTTTACGGGTCCATTGACAGTTGGTTTTTCTGATTGGTTTTTTTTACTCAAAATTCCTTGAAGCTGAGAATCGTGTACTTGGCGTTTCCCTTCCTCACGAGTCATTAACTACACTGTCTGATCATGACTTAAGTACACTTCACATGAACAGCTAAATAACTTTTGTTTCTATTCGGTCAGCGTTTACTCGAGCTATTCTATCACTACTGCTGCGTCTTCCCGGCTTGTTGGTCTGTTCCTGAAATGGTGTCCTCCGTATACAACAGCTGGCGACTTTTACCACTCATGTCTTGTTAAGTCGGGATTTCCTAGTGTAGGCCACCTACACATCGTGCGCTTATACTTTTGTGGATTTTGTAAGTGGGGCGATCGCAGTTACGGCATTTTGTTCAGTAAAACTACGTAAATCTGCGCTAAACAATGGAACGTATGACACTGGGAGTCTTAAGAGCACGTCTCGCGAGTTACCCATGATTCACATATTAGTAGTATCCGGATAATAGTTAACCACTGGATGTCAACTCCGGGTAGCTAACAGTTTGACATGAGAAGTGCAAAATAATTTCTTGAAAATCTTGCTGCTCACTGAATACGAATGATCAACTCAGGATAGAAAGTGTCAGTGCTCCCGAGCCCTATACTGTCAACATATACAAGCCCGAAAAATCGCCACCGTCATTCGCGTCAAGTTAGGTGGAGAAAACTGAACATTCGTATTGTACAATGAATGTCTTACATCTCACATAAAATATTTTGCTGCATATGTACGGGCTTTTTTAAATCCTAGATTACCACAGATGTATTCGCACACGGTCTCCGGTGACATCGGACATGCTCTTTTGGTGTTTGATTTTCTAGCCTCGTTCTACAGTAAAAATAATCTCTCTGTAATGGCATGCACACAACCGTCATGCAAACTGGTATGGAGGGCAAGGGCTGAGATATTGTCAGGTTGTTCAAGAGTAATCGTAAGTCCACAGCTGATTTCGAAGCAAGGACCTATCAGCCAACAACCTCATGCCTTAACCACAGCTCTCTGGAGCCTCGCTCTTAATATGGTCCAATATTTACCACGTTTTTCACTCCCGCTGCCTAATCGCTTGATCCATTCGGAAACTCTGCTCTACTATCGCCGTTAGCTATTGCTGTGAGTGCCGGTGGATGCTGAGCTAACCTCAGAGAGAACGAACGCAGCCGAGTGAGAACTGGTTAATATATTAGTGGTGGGTACTTTACATAACACGGAACTGTAGAGTATTCAATATGACAAAACAATGGCCACTAGAGAAGAGTCATCTATAAGTACATGACCTTTATCAAACATTTAGTGTTCAATAGTAACTGGCTGAACTACTCGCTAGTCTACATTGTTTGTCATCTTACTCCCGAAAACTAATACACAACGTGCCCTGTAACATCTGATAGCTGTTTCTGAGTGTCGCTGTTGTTTCAGCGTGTGCTCCATCATTGCGTATCCCATTTCAAGGCGGTCAGTTCAGGTTTGAGTTCAGGTTGAAGAGCAAAAGACATTTTGGCTTGTTTCTACCCTCTCCTGCGAGAAGCTGCACCGGACTTATCCGTTTAGATGAATTGGCCTAGGAATTTGAGGGTATGAATCCCCAGCTGTTGGCTCGCAACTCCAGATATAAATAAACAAATAATAATAATAATCGTTCAGCTGTAGCACCCTTTCGGTGCCTTGCTGCCATGCCACCTGAAGGAGGCACGAGGGCTGGGATACTGCCAGGTCGCCCAAGCCTAGACAGGGGAAGTCGAATGGCAGAGGTCAGACCTTCCGGTCAGTAAATTCGCGCTCTAACCACTTGAGCCACCTCTACCCCAGATATGTAACTTGTCCATGGCTTCTTTGGAGGTAGTGGCCGGAGGCGACATGACCACGCTCTCTTGTAATCAGCCTGGAGACGTGCAACAAGAAGTTTGTGTCAACCGTATTTTTCCCAGTTTGAAGTGGTGCCCATCGTGTGGGTTGTCTTCGTTAAGACAAAAGCGTCTGCAGTTGAAGGTTTAGCTTGAGGCCGACGGTCTTGAAGGTAAAAGTTAGGTCCAGGTGCACCCGTCCGTATTCCGTGTTGCACAGGTCCAAGCATCACCTATCAAGGTAGCTGAAGTTGCATAGTTCTGATATCTTGGTAGCTAGCCTTTAGCTGTAAGTCCTGTTTTAGGCACAAGAAGGAAAGTTTATTCGCCACATTCCAGAACCACTGTATAGGGGCTGCAATGAATCGAATGTATTAGCTGCTCAGCATGCAAAATAACGTTTCAGCACGCAGTCGGACGTCTGATGTGATCTCCGAGAGCTCAGATTCCGAAATCTTGTACCACCTCTTTCCTAGGCATCACTACTTTTGTATGCATATTGGCTTTTGAAGTGCTACTGTGAAGATGCTGACACTTCTGGTTGATTATCAGACAGAGTTGCTCGCCTCTCTGCTGGATTGTGTTCATATCCTGTTGGAGTTGAGCATATTCTTCCAATAACCAGTTGCCGTAACTCGATGAACAACAGGTATGGTAAGCTAGCTAACCGGAGTGCCTAGTTACTGTACAGATTGAATAGTACAGGACCGAGTCCCCTAATATGGGGCGCCACCTCTCTCTCTAGACAGTGGACTCACGGACAATTTACCATCCATCCTAAAAGGACTGGACTGCTTGAAAGTTATATTCTTGGAGTACTAGAATCAGAGGAGATGAATCCTTTGGTCGAAAACCTCATTGAATTCGAACAAGATGGCATCCACTTGACAACCTTTGTGTAGCGTCCTGCTCCACTCCTTCCAAGCCGTCATAAGATTGGTTGCACGAAAACTCGAAGTTACAAGTCCATACTGAGCATCAGTAAGCAAACTGTTGTTCTATTTGTTTGGTCTAGCAGCTCACGGTTTTTCACTTCTCCGTGAGTCTGGGAACTACCGTTGTGTAATTCAGTCCCCTGTGTTCGTCACCACTTTTGTAGAATGGTTTGCTCACAGCCGTTCTTAGAGAAAGGGTGAGGAATACGGCTAGGGAGGGTACCATTACCATCGCAAGGTGGAAAAGAATGAATGGGTGCAGACCGTTCGGTCTCAGGACCTTGTGTGCTTCTAACCGCTGTAAAGGGGCCAATTTCGCTTGTTTACTGTGCTGATGGACTTCCATAGGGCCAGAAGCGGCGGAGTTTAATGACGCACCGTCTCCCGTGGAAACGGAGATCATTGATTCAAGGACGAATATGGTGATGGCTTAATCACACTTTACAACGTTGCCTTTCTTATAGGTGAGTGTTGACAACTCATCTGAACAACGAAGGCGGTGATTAGTGTAGCTTTAAACTCTTCTCGGTTCTCCATATTTACGCGATATCAAATCCGATTCGAAGTCTTGACTTCCATTTTTCATAAGGGATTTTGTTCTACTTCGCTATCATTTATACTTCAAGTATTCACTATCGTCTTCTGTGGACCGGTAAACTGATTAGATTAATTTCGGGCACTACTTATTTATTCGCTCACTCGTAGGAGGTACTGACCACTCCATGGCGTTGGCTGTCTCTGAGAGACTTCCGTTTCGTACACTTTATCTATGGTCTTACACTTTCCATGGGTTGCTAGTTACTCGAATAAGAAAGTATATTCTTAGGTGGTTGCTGTCACTTGAACCATATTTGATGAGCGAGACAGCAGTTTATCGATTCTCTTATTTTCTTTGGTGAGAAGAATGGACGTTTATACGTCCATTCATTTTAGCCGACAGCATCGGAACAAAAGTATGTGGACCTCCGACTATTTTCAGTACGAACTTCAGTGGTCTCGGCGTTTGTAAGTCATGTTGCTTTCCAATCTTGATAAAGGACAATTTTGCCCCGCTACCTTGTTCGTGTGTTAACCAAATCATTCACCACCTACCAGTGCATCGTGATACAAAGGCTGATGCCCATCTGGAAAGCGAACCACTGGTTCACACTCGGCTTGATTGCTCTCTTCTTTATCGCGTTTTCCTGCTCCTTTGAATCCGTTTCAGAAAATTGGATCAAGTTCGACGATGATACCGTGACATGCGTAACTCCTGAAGATATCTTACGTCTTTCCGGTGGTGGGGATTGGCATTGCGCCTACGTACTTTTGTATGGTCCCAAACGAGTCCTGAAGTCAATTCCTCCTATTGAGCCCGCTTCTTCAACCGTACAGATGGAGGTGGGTCAATCAGTCAAGGACGTTCACGGAGGAGACCGTACGGATTGATAGACAATGGTCGCTTCTTTTGCACATTTTATGTTTCATTGATGAGCAAGATGACGGATACGACCACCGTGTTACCGCTTTTTTATCCCTGTCAACTTGGATCCGTTTACTGTTCTTTTATGTGCATGCTGAGCATCAACTTGTACATTTCGTTGCGTCATCCCATTAACCTTTTCCCGCCTTTTTCCACGTGTTAACTTTTTGGCTGTGCAAAAGTATGAAACAGACGATGTAATATGAACGTCGGATGACTCGGTGTTTTCTCTCCGACTTGCTGGAAGGAAGAAATTCAGCTGGTGTCGTCCTCGGACTCAAATTATGCCTTAATATCTCTAATACTGAACTTTCTCGAAGTCTAATAGAGCAAACAAAAAGGTTATATTAAACACGTCACAATCGGGTGGGGAGGGAGCATTATTTACCTGAAGTCTGAGGTCTAAACACAAACCTACGATTTCTTTTCTCCCGTGAGTCACATATTTAACAGGGTTATGAGAGAAACAATGCCACCCTCGTGAATCAACTATGACGTTTGAATTCCCTGAGCCCGTATGTTCTGCGCCGACAGTATTTAAGCATTTCAGTCTTATGTTCTTACTGTCTTGTGGACTAGAACTGAGCTTTCACAGTGAGTAATTTTACCATGAGTTTCGTTTCCGGCTTTTTAGGAAGCTGGATGACGATGCGAATGTATGTGAATCTAAGGCTACGGTGACGTGATTGAATCATATGAATGCCGGTCAATTCATCTGACACCCACACCATGGCAGTGGGGCATCGCCTCGTCACTGGCTGAACCAGCTTCTAAAATGCTTGCGTCGAATATTTGGCCGTTTCCCTCCCTTCGGTGTTAACGGGAGTTACAATTTTCCTTTGATAAAATAATAAAGGTAATCATTCAGCTATAGCACCCTTTCGGTGCCTAGCTGCCATGCCACCCAAAGGGAGCACAAGGGCTGGGATACTGTCAGGTTGCCTAGGCAGGAGTTCCCTTCGATACAAATACCGTTTCGTGTTTAACTTGATATTATATCCGGGATACTACAGTTTATTTCTTTAACGAAACTAATCATTTGTAGGATTGACGAAAACCCCAGGACAATGTGTCGCCGGTTACTTCCTTGGAGCTCAAGCTAGGCGCAGTTCCTGAGTTTCAATCAACCCTGTGTTCCATTGAAAGAATATCGCAAAGAAGAGATCCAGCTGATCTTTCCATTAAAATAGGAGTGAGTATTTCGTCACTTGAATCCAACTTAATGTTCAACTAGAACGTAAGGGTGATGGAAACTCAGGGACTGCGTTTATTTGGTGGGCCCCGAGAGGGTCGAAGTTGAGAAACGGACTGTCTTTTTACTGGATCCAAAAATCCCGCACATTTTCGTGTACCTTCTTAGTTGCCTGCTTCTCTCTCATTTGGAACCGATTTCTCCAGCTGCAAGTAGTTGCTAATATTAAGGGTTCGTGGTATTGTGAAGATCCAAAACTTATTCTACTATTGTGTGGATGACCACTAGTGACGTGTTTGCAAAACGTCCATGGAGCCGTTCTGCGGCAACATCATACTTAGTATTGGATGGTTGCCTTCAAACCCCAAATGTGCATTCTGACTGTCTTTACCCCTCTTAACTGCTCATATTCTAGAAAAGTCGAATGTCATTCGCCCAGAATGGTGTTCGGCTTTATGAGGAGTGCGAAATATACCAGCTCAGACTGTCCAACGTGAGTAGCGTGCATTCACCAAAACTATTGTCTGAAGCAAGTTCTCTGTGTTTCGGGTCATGCCTGTCCTAAGGGTGGATGTTGCCTAAGAGAACCTACTTTGGATTCTGAAGCAGGCATATGCGTTTGCTTATTGCCTTTGCCAACTAGCTTAGACTGGTATGCAATTGTCCCATCGGGGGTCGAATCTGAAGAAACTTAGTAGGAGCGGATGCTACTACACACGACGGTCGTTACTGGAGGAAGATGCTTGAAGAGAAGTTGAAAGTAACCACTTCTAGGAGGTAACCTCTGCTAAGGGTGTTTTACTGCGTGCTATACTCAGCTGCATTACTCGTTTGGTAAATTGTGGTACTGGTGAACAACCCTCGATGAGGCCTCGAACATTCAGCCGGAAATTCAGGCTGCACTTCAGCTTTACTCTATTTGCTGTGGCGGCTTCCAAAGTCAACGAATTGATTAATACCTAATTGCTGTAAAATCAGTCTGCGAATTCCGTAGCTTACGCGGAGTGGCGATTTGGAGTGTTCAGAGAATGATCTTCCTTCAGGGCCTAATTGGTCACAAAAAGCTAAGTACTCTGGAAGAGGAGGCAACTGAAAATTCACTAGGAAGTGGTCAGTTGTTGTTGGGTGCGAATTTACTGACCGGATGGTGCGTGGTTCGAATCCGACCTCTCGACTTCCCCCGTCTAGGCTTGGGTAACCTGGTAGTATCCCAGCCCTTGTGATTCCTTTGTGCTGCATGGCAGTTACGCATCGAAAGTGTGCTACAGTTGAACGACTAATTTTTCTCAGCTGTAGGATTCGTTAAAGCTCGATGCCTGTACCACAGTTAATCATTGTCCCAGCAATTTCGCTGTCCACGTTGATATCAGCACGACACAGTGAGTCAGCTGATCTCAATATGTTATCCATCTCGGGACTGCACTAAGGCTTCGGTGGACTGTAGCCGATCCCACTCCGAGCACTTTCCACTCACGGTAGGATTGCTGTGCTTACGTCTGCACCGTAGGTACTCGAGGCGAACGGCGCCTTCCTACGCAAAAATCAAGTAGTGGAAGCCTGAAGATGCACCTCAGTAGTTTCTCTACGCCGTGCAAGCAAGCTCGTAGATAAGGTCTTGATGCTCCAATGAATGCAGGATAATCGTGCAAAATGAACTCACCAAACAGCCTATTGTGATAGGGGGCGATTTGTCAGTGGACTTAACACGCACATTGATGTCTGTCTGTATCTTTCACGAGAATTAACCGGTGCGCGCACCCCAAACACCTCACTGTGTCTCTGGTGCCTCAAACACCCGAGGGTTCCCCGGTGGCAAGCGTCTCCAAAGCGTGTATTGAAAATCGGCTTTGAGCATAAATGCATGCAGGTCTATAACTAAGGTCAGCTAGTATTGCCAGATCCATTTTGGCAGACGTCTGTAACTTGGCTGCTCTCTGACTGGCTTGACAACTGCGTGCAAGAACGGGATACCTTAAAAGTAGTCGACAATCCCATCTGTTGTCCAAACAAGACACAGGTGACACGAGCGATTCGTCTGTGACCGTCACACAGCAGATTTGACGAAAGCGTAACTTACAACACTGAAATCGGCAACTGGTTTTGTCTGGCACCGGGGCACCGAGTAAGTATTGTGACGCTGTACGGGGAACGTGAGTACAGACAGTCACGGAAAGAAGAACATGTTCTGTAGCTTGTGGCAAAACATCGAATTTACTTGGATCACTTACCCAAGTTTCAGAGATGCAACGGAAGTCAGTCACTGAAGAGATTATCTACAAGAGCATCTCACTGGCCCGAATAGTGGTCGGGGAGCTGTAGGTGTAGTTTCCTAGGTGTTCGGCTGCATACCTACAGATGAGATCTCCAAAGAAGTAAGTGTGAAGCATAACAGGGGAAATGTTGAGATAACCAATAATAAACATGAGAGGCGTCAGAAGGTCCTTATTCTCGATTATCCACCTTGCTGCACCCAGACGATAAGGCGACTGGGCAGATTACACCACTAACGGCCGATATGGCGTGAAGTTATTTTATTAGCGAAGTCCATGGTTGCCTGTGAGCTGAGCTACTGTCAGGACACCCAAACGTAGACAGGAACTATCAGCCGAAGCCTTCGACACAAAACTTTGAATATAATCCAATAGCGTGGGACTACTATAGTAGTTCATGTTTTATTGAACTAATTGCCACACTTATTCTAGCCCCCACCCCTAGAATGCTGTTTTTCAGACTTCTGTGCACTGACCTACCTGGTGGGAAAGACTGTTAATTCCGCATGGACATTCTCCAGCACATCTGAGTGGGTCACTGAGGCACAAAATCCGCCCCACCAAGATAAGTCCAGTGTGTTCACGACGGAGATAGGAAGTGAGGCAGTGAGAATGTCAGACAGTGGAAAAATACGCGCAAATAAATCCACTGGTCTGTGAGTTAAACCTATACTGGTATCATTAAATCGGAAATATTTGTAGATTAGGAAAAGTGGATTGCTTGTCATTACCTTGCAGAACTGTGTGCACCAAAATTGTCGAATACAGACTCACATGCTTAATGCGGCCCGATGAACGCCATTGATGTTACTACAAACAGTTACAGGGGTTCACCATTACTTTGTTGCAGCATAGTTAGTAAAATATGATTTTCGTCATAAAGTTCGAATGCTCTCAAAGGAGTCTGTATCTCGGAGGCATGTTTTTGCAACGCGACGAAATTAAGTCGTTGGGTTTAGATATCCGCTAAAGAAGTACCCATCATGACAGTCATATTTCAGACTTCCGTATCTGCTGCTGATTCGCGGCGCTGAAGCTTAATGCTCTTCAGGATTTGCATGCCACCAGGCCAAGTGCTAGGCATCTGTCAGTTAGCCGCGTACACGTGAAAATGTCCTCAGGTCAAACATTTGTTTTTAAGTGTTCTCAAAATTCCATCGTCAATGATCAACAAGGGCAGGTGACGCTGGGTGCTAATCTGTCGTGTCACACGGTGTCTCCGCAAAGCGAACATAAGATGATGCTACTGTCGGGTTATGCTGAATAACCTGCTTTCAGGCGTTGGCAAGTCCATCAGTCCGGCTTGAACTAACTTTCACCGCCGGTCCATCAGGGCCCTGTTATGCATCACACAGTATAAAGAGAAAAGTAAATAGCGTAACATACAAACCGTTCGAGAGATTGGGGTGAAACTAGATACTACACAAGCTACTGAAATCACACAGATTCAGAAAAAAACTACAAAGGTTTAACACATGCACCACGTCTTGGTACCATACTAGGTATTTTGGCATTAAGCTCAATCCTGATCACACTATTGTGGGAAGGTTCATCGACGAGTTTTGGTTAGCACCGAAATCGTTTGTTTTACACGATAAGAACAAATCGGCTCGTTGATTTTTTATAACTACACTTTCTGCCTGTGAGGCTTGAAATTGAAGACGCTAATAAAGAAAGATTGTTTTTATAACCTGTGTAATCAGGCAGAGCAAGGGCAGTTAATCTGCTGCCAACCTCAGCACACTTTGCGCTATATGGTTGCTTTACTCCGTGGCCTTTACTCCTTTCTGGCCAGGGAGGCTGAAGAAAATTCGTGGCGACAAAAACCAGGGGATAGAACTTCATTGCTGATACACCAAACGTACCTATGACAGCCTGGTGAATATGCGAAGTATTGGAAATTTTTTTATATCCTGAAAAAATTGTTGACAATATCAGAAATTATTTAGACATCCATTAGGTGTGTATAGAATACGTTCGAGAGACACTCAAAAGGAACCAACATCGTCTGAAACACTCCTTCTTGGAAGAATCACCAGCTGATCTCCACCTCAAGAACGCATTCCTGAAACCGGACTGATTTACTATTTAGGCCATAGTCAACGGTATTCTAGACGCTAGTTTATACAATACAATAGTAACCTTTTGATTCAGTGGACAGTGCATTTAGATTCTGTGCTACAAAATAGACGTATATTCCCAACGGTTTCTTGACCAATACTTTGAAATCGCTTTGGTAACGGTTGCGACAAAAAACTGATTGGTGCACTTTCGCTTTCCCTGTCACTGTAATGTTGGGTCTCCTGCCCAACACAGCTAAACTTTCGGTACATGAATCTGGTAAAACCATGAGATTTTAGTAACATGGACACCCAGAAAAAGTGTGATTTCTCCTCCTGCCTGAATTGCGAGCAGACACGTGGACGCATACTTCTTGGCCTGCTGAGATACACAAACGTCAGAATGAGCACTGTCTTACACAAAGGCATTCAGCGTAACAAATCGTAGACAAATTTCGAATCTTTTCGAATAGGTTACAGGCGGCTGACTAGTCGTAGTTCTAAATCAACAGTCTTGAAAACACCAAAGATTTCACTACCTAAAGCGTTCGACCAATTTCATGGACACGCACTAGGTTAGGACAGGATATTACGATCATATGATGCAGTGAGGATATTGACGATCGACAGTATATTTTGTGTCAACCTGAAACAAGCGTCTGCAATTCACGCGAAAAGATAAGGCTACCTTTGAAATACGGACAAATAATAAACTAAGAGGACAAAAATACGCTTGTTCTACTCCTTAATGACGAGAGATATGAGAGGAATGCGAATAATCTGTGGCTGCTTCCATAACTGCTTGCAAGAATAATTCGATTTCTTGGTCTAATCAGATGACTGTTGGTGCAGATCGAGGGATGCGCGAACTTCCGTACTGCGACAATTGTTGACATTGATCACGGGATGCACTGGGATCCGACAATAATGAAGCGAGTGTGTGATAATCAGTGATTGTGTTTAAGTGGAAAATAGGAGGGTCGGAGAGGCGGATGAAAGTTTATCCGACGTCAATCAAAGGCACAGAATGAGCCACATCGGCAGTCAAGAACAGTCAAGATGTCGGTGCAGGTAGACGCTGGGTAAGGTTTATCCGTCGCCGTCTTTAGTTTCTCCTGGAATAGAGCGGATTTAGGAACATTTATCACACACATACTTTAAACTTTGTGACAACTATTGACACGTACAAATGTCGTTCAAAATGGTTGAATCGAAATGACAGCTCAGCAGACCACTTTTAACAAACCTGATTGGATACTTATTCAGACTGTTGCTTGTGTATGACTTAAACAATGCAAAACATATCTGAAGGATAAAATATGTCGGGTATATAACGTCACACGTTGCCTTTCGAAGAAACAAACGGAAATCGAGGACAACTCTACAACGAGGTAATGCATCCAACATACACCCAACAACATGCTACATGAAGTGTTTACGTTCGATGTAAGAAATGCCTTTAGAGAATTTTACAGGATGCAGCAACTTCACCACTTAAGAAACATTCTAGAGATCTAGCGGTTTACAAAATTTTTGACTTCAAAGTTAGAACGGGAACAAGCAAATACACTATTGCCACAAAACTGTTGGGTAATATCTAGCTGTTGGATAAGAGTTATCAAATTTCTTTTGCTTGACACGACAACAGCTGCCCCTGTTGTAGAAAATTTTGCAGGAAACCTCAAACTTGCTTTTGAATTCTCACAGCCATCAGTCACCCGTCAGGACGTTTTCTTCAATGAGTAAACTTTTTATAGGGAAAATAAGTGACCTGCTTCTGATGGATCTAGCAATTTCATGTTTGCTACGCAAGGATTGAATGAATTGAGAATAATGAGGCAAAGTATTTCTGAAATATCCCTGCGATTATGTTGCTTCCACGTTCAAAAATTTGGGGTCCCTGGATTTTTAGGACGAAAAAAAATCTTCCGGGCATTCCCTGATATAGTTTGTGGCAATCATCAGATAATATTGGTCAACTCAAACGTAGATTTTGCGTATTTTAAGCAAAGCCTGTTAATTTTTGTCACGCTTGTGAGGGGGCTTAAAAGAGTTCTGGGTGCGTAGGCATTACACTGTCAACATGGAACCATTTGGTCGTTTTTTAATCTGACGTCAACCAAAACGCCAAAAGACTTGAATAGTTTTCCGTGGTACGTAGCTTCCACACCTGCTACTTTGCATACTTACTTCCTCAAAGATCTATCTGTCGCTGGAGCCGCATGCGGATCAGACATTAAATCCACTTCCATCCTGTCTCGTGAAGTCACCGAGGGGCTAAAATTTATCATTGTTCACCTGGTGTGTGTGACCCCCGCTGTGTCAGGTAGGTGGTGCGGAAGTGGATGTTGTAATTCTACAGAGCAATGCAGAATCATTTATCTGATAGAAGTTGTTCTCGCTAATGATGATTGACGGTTATCGATAGGAGTGACCGGCAGTATGACAAAATTGCATCGAAAAGCCAAGAGCTTGCTACAAGTTATGTACTCATGGTGAGTAGAAAAAGAGCAAAATAAGACCACGATGGACTTCTGCACATTTGGGATAGAAGTAAATGCAACTCTTAGAATTTTGCCCCACAAAACGATACTTTCTGGTGCGAGGTGGGAATTACACCTTCAAATTGCGAGAAGTATGGTCTAACAATGACAAGAAGAGATATATTTTCAGCCGCTGTTTGTCCACCATTTTGGACAGTACCAAAAGAGTTGCGTTCTGCTGCTCCGTACGTGTTTAACCAATGAGTGGCCCCCGAGATGCGTTTACACCTTGACACCCAGAGTAGTCATGATAACTGGAATAATAGTGCAACCCGGAAAAAAATGTTTTACGGATGCCAATGTGAGTGATGTTAGCCTTGATTTCATAGCAGTAATGCACTACCGATAGGTGCATTCACGATTAAGTTGCTTAGAATCTGATTGTCATAGAATATAGACTTATTTTTGGTCAACCTGAATATCATTCTGAGTGGTTACCAGAGTGGTCTAACGGAAACCTAATCCTAACATTTCTCTTGTTTTTGAAAGTTTGTCAATTCAAAAAATTCATTCAGAATAGTTTTTTGAATGAAAATTAATGTCATTACCTTCTGAATGTTCTTTGCCGGAGCCTTCGTCTTTGTCACCTTCAGTTTCTGAAAAATAGAGTAACTGTTGCTTTTGGAAGGCAAGGGGATGTAAATAAGGGTGCTCCGGGGTGCTCTGTATATGCCGCAAAATCTACTGGCGCATCCTTAATGTACTTGCTCACGTTACCCCCTAAATACGTCACGTTGTACGAGTGAGTGTAGAGAAAATAGGTACTTGATATGCGTTGTTTGTCCTTCAGCCGCCGCCTAACAAACCGATTAAAGCGTGGTTTAACCCTAGTCTGTTTGGGAATGCGTTGTATGTAGCCAATGATATATATATATATATATATATATATGACAAATTTTCCGAAACTGATAATGTGCTGAAAAGCCAAGAAGCACCGTAGAGATTTTTCATCCTTGTTGAGAATCGTCAGCGGCGCGTATCTAATGAAACTTATAGACTTTCAAAACTGCGACCTTTCAGCCTGTAGTTGGACACTTGAGAGTTTGGCCATGAGTGGCTGACCAGGCTGATCTCACTTAGACAGGACACACTGCAACCCACCTTTCAATCACGGAAACCACATCACCTGGTCACACATTGGCTGCTCGCGTGACGACTTCTCAGAAGGAAGTTCCACCCATCTTGTGAAATTATTCTTACTCTGGGCTGCTTATTTACTGATGATACTGTGACGGGGTTTGGTAATGTTCGCTGGATTTTCTGTTCTGTCAATTTTCTACCTGTGAGTATGCAATATTCGGTCGGAAGTTCAAAACTGCACACTGCTGATGACCCCCAAAAGGAACGAAGAAGCTGTCCTTCCACGCAGTTCGGCATAGACTGGTTTAATTAACAGGCCGATACATCCAATTAGCACCCTAGAATTTACATGTAGATACAGTATTCGCCACACTAATCTGTATGCCAATCCACATTTATTACGCACCTGTAAGAATGTGCCCTTAACGAACATCTCTTTGCAAAGCCCTATAGGTGGTTAAATTCCTGGTGACCAAGTTTAATGTAGCGACATTTAGAGTCGCCCGCTGAGCGGCACTTGACGTACGCGCGCTACCGAGTTTTCATAAAAATAATAGACTTTCCTGTGGGATATAGCAGAAGATACTTTCAGATAATAATGACTTTTGAACATAGGATATAAAATACCCTTCTTTCGTAGACAAAGCTGGTTAATTCTCATAGGCGGCTTCCTAAACAAATCCATTGACCGACGACTGATTTAGCCGTGATGGTGATCGGTAAGTGCTCTAGTGCTGAATGCGCCAGTCATTCATCCAGATCCCAAACTTACGGAACATGTAATCGAGGTTATCCATGGTGGATCAATCTCCAAAACAGATTAAGTCTCAATGGTGGCGTTCTATTTTAAGGAAGATCGCTGAAATGTTAATTTTAATGATTAGGTTGACACTCAACTCAACAGGTGCACGAAATCGCCAACAGTCGAGGAGGATACTTCTTCCCGAACAGTATTATTGTCCCGCAACCCAGTTGGCACCTTTGACGAAAAGTTCATGTTACTTTGAGTGAAGGTTGAAGGCAGTGTGGAGATAAAACAGTTACTGTTCAGTTATTCATTTTATCCAGACCATGTATTAAAAACAGTTGGTGGGGCTTTGTAACCTTAGATTACGAAGAGCCAATTTATGGTGGTCCTCTAGATCAGTCAATAGACGCAAATGTTCAGGCTTACCACTATGAGTTTCTTCTTCTGGGGGCTGCTCCGGGTTTTCCTTGGGTTCTCCATCTCCCTCTACAGCGTATTCGACGTTTTCTGAATGAAAGAGAGGTAGATTTGAGGACGAGAGTTATCCTTTTAGAAAACAAGAAATGATCACGTATTCAAAGGCGACTTTAGCGCCAGAAACAAATGTGTCACCCGCAATGGTGAAAGAATAAAATGAAAAAAAATTGTCCTGGGCTTCCCTGAATTTTTATGACACCGGCAGCTTGACTGGAAATCAGATATATACCCAATCCGGGAAGGAAAATAGGACCAAAAGTTATATCCATCACTGAATAAGGTTATTATTTTACTCATTTCACAATTATTCTGTTAGTTTATCTAGTTTTACGCTAACCACAAAGCGAGTATGGAAGATAACAGACTGAAACCAATGGTCATTACCTAGCAAACGTGACCAAGCAGCATCAACTAGTGACTGTCATATTTTGCCTGTTGTTAGGTAGTAGGTACAGAGGCTTGTTTTTATGTAAAAAAAGATTATTTGGTGTGATGGTGATTGTGTCTGCCACGAATGAACCGATTTTCAAAGCAAATGAAATGCGATCACAAAAAATCGACTGTTCTCACCTAGCATAGCGTGCTTAACGACGTTGTTATTTGGTTTCCTACCATCAATCCATAGTGCTGCTAGTCATTTGTGGAGGTCGATTTGTGTATGATCTGAAGATTATGGGGAAGGGGACGTTATTCCTACCCCTACACCTTAGGCAAGTGGCATTTATTCGGTCATGATTTAATTGTATCAGAAAGTCACATTCGAATTTGAAACAATCCGCACCAGTTGTTTTCAATAATGTGGTGACCTGAGGCCTATTTTTGGGGTTTCTATCTCATTAGAGGCAATGCCAGTGGTAACAGTTTGTGGCCTTTGAATGCATTATATAACATTTATTAATGCCTTACCAGTGGGTGATTTAACCACTTTCTCAACTCATGGATTAACGTAACCATAACATCCGGAAGTTGTGCATGTTTGAATGGTATATATTCAGGGACTCTGTTAATGCTGTATTTGCTGCGCCGTAATCACAAGACCCGATGAGGCGCAAAGCTGCCTCATATTTCTCATGGTCTTATCACCTCATGTGACACGAGGGATTTGGGCTTTAGGGTGAAATTACTTAGGCGAAAAGGCGAATAAAATTTCAAGGAAAGCGCGTTTTGCAAAGCCATTTTTGCGTCCCTTACTAAGTAGAAGATAACATGACCTGGTTTCGAACACTATGTTTAGGTCTGCACTTGGATTGCATTGTAGTGCTCATATCCCGAAAAGTTCCTTTGATTTACGGCTGATGTATCATACAAGTTATGTATCAGCTACAAAAATGAAACACCAGTACATGCAACGGTCTGTTCTGGTTGTCATTGGAATTATATATTTCCCCATTTATAGGATGTATGAGTGCTTCCGTTGCTGCGTCTGTGCTCGGTTTATAACGGTTTATAACCATATTTGATAAATAGATACGAGAGACACTCTACATCACCAAACAGCATACTATTTTTTTTCGGTTTTTCGGTTTTCACGACCCTTTGGCCATACTTTGATATTTTGATGAATTTACGGGATATTGGAGTTGTGGTAGCGAAGAAGGAAGACGACACAAATGACGATTTTTTGACGAGGCCTGGAGGAGTTGCGCAGCAAGATGACGGTGATATCAAGCCCAGTAGCTATGAAAATTAGGTTTCAAATATGAGATCGTGTGCCTGAGTGGCAAGGCTAGAACAGTGAAGATACAATCATAAAACAGAAGCGACCGACTTCCATCCATCATCCGAATCAACCTAATACTTGTGAACATTGTCAGAATTTTCAGTTATCCGTATTTTGCAAACAACCGATTTCAAGAATTTTACAAACGGATATAAACTAAGGTTGGAATGGCAGATTGAGGCACCAGAAAAATTAAGAAGGGTGCCTCAATAGCTAACGGGCTTGACATGTTTGGGCCAAATGATAAGTTTATCGTTGCGCCTGACGTATTCAATGTAGGAATTGAAACCTTCTTGTCAACTTGCGTGGTCGGTGGTGTTAGCCGCGTGATGATCGATGCAGGATAAAAACCAGTCAATCAGTCGGAAGGAGCATTTGGTAATTTTATGGGTTTTAGACCGAGTTTGGTGACCTAACATATCAGAGATCATTAATCCTCCTGATGATCGTGCAGAATACACAGGCTACTGAAAGTCGCATTCACCCAAGTAGTCGACGCAGAAGCATCCAATTGGTTGACACTCTTAAGGCAGCCGGTAGCGTCGGAGAAACCTTGCATTGACAACAAGAAAACAGTGTAATTATAGAATCAAATAAGCATTCTCAGCGGTAAACGAGACTAAAGTGTGGCGGACGAACAACCAAGGGAATGCGCGCTGTGTATAGGTAATCATGGATTGCTTGGCGGCCACTGATACAAATTCATTGTAAACAGTTTTGAAGGAGAACTATAAAACGCACCTTGACATATCCTGTCGAGTTGCCAACATTTTTACTGGAACACCATAAAAATACTTTGAAATTTAATTATTTTTACAGCGATTTTGGAAAAGGTTTCTAGAGGTGGGAAGTTTGCTTCTTATACAGACCCGGCTCCGTGATATAAAAGCTGTCACAGAATTAAAGCAGTTTACCCAGTTCATTAATCATTCAGCCAATTCACGAAAATATTTTCCAAAAGGTCATCCCTATGTACGTGGGTTTGGTAAACCGTCGGTCAGGTGGATTGTTAGAGTGGGCCTCTATTACTATCACCCGTCAGAACAGTAACGCTCGGTTTCATAACCAACGAGGTGGTTTAAACCAGCTTTTTTGTATCCATAACTGTGTCATCGCTTCCAGGATATCTTCATTACTCATCTAAGTCTGAATTATTTTACTCCAACCACCGAATGATTGAGTACCAGGTGCAAGTTGTTAACCTTCAGATGTTTTCGCGTCACAGTTTCTTGTCACAGCTTAGGCTGAAGACATAACTTGACGCCCATAATCTCGAGGTGCACCGATGTTTTCATTTCAATGATTAATCAGTGGTGCTTGCTTGTTTGTTCACACCCGTTAAAATGTCAGAATCGCGGTTCGCACAGGTGGCGTGGTTGGGTTAGATGACATGTCGGTTTTGTCGGGGAGATTGGTACTCACACACAAGTAACAACCAGCACTAAATTATTACAAGTGGCAATCAATAGAAATGATTGTGTCTTTCTATGAGGTTAGCTGTTAGCGCAAATCGATGAGAAGCAATTGAAGTCTGCAGCGTCAAACAACAAGGTCAACTTTAAAAAAAATCTGAATTGGCATGGCTCCAAGATGAAAGTCGGCAGTCAACAGATCATTCGAACAAAGAGGTGAGGTAATATTCAAATTTATACATAGCACTACACACACCAACTTCACCAACATCGTGCTTCTAGTGTGTTTAAGATGGTTTCGATATCACCGAGGTCTAGGATATCAGGGACTGATTTTTCCTCCACAACGGTTACGATCAGCCCTTCTGGTTAGCTGGAAAGACATAGTCTACGGTTATTATATGTATAAATTTGTGTGTAACTGTATTTGAATGTATGCCTTGTATGTATGAACTCCACTCTTACTTAGAATGCTGGTGTGCATCCTTCCCCTAGATTGTCAGACAGATCACCAGACAGTGGTGTGTTTGTCTTGTGAGTGTGACAGTCATACCGTCTGAACTGCGGTGGACTGAATCCTGATTAACTATAGTAAGTGGGGACAATCACAATGAGCAAAAGATCATCCTAGTTGATTCGTCCGACAAATTGGTCCATAGACATTAGCAGGTATAGCAGGCATGTACAAGAGGCACCGGTGGGTTTTTTAGTTTGCCTGCAATCCTCGTAGCAGGAAAGCCCAACATCGACATAAGTGCGGCCCGTTATATTCAACGAAGAGCAGGCGCAGTGAGACAATGAAAAATATGGTCAGTTTTTTTAAATAAAGAAAGGGGTCATAAGTTTTTAAACCATAAGGAGCAAACCTCAAATTCCATTCCATATCAGCTTCCAATCCAGAGAAGCTGATTTCACCTCTACGACAAACAGGTCGCTAGTGAAATCCAGTAGTGCATTCTTGAGTGTAATCCAAATGTGGAATGCAATTTTTTGTTAGAATGCCAATTTTCTACCCAAACACCGGATACTGTTGTCCTCAAGCGGATTATCTCAACCAATCAGTATGTTGGGAGGTATCCTGTATTCTAGTGTGACTTTCGGACAGCAATGGAGAAAAATTCGAGTGCCTGACGGCTTCTGTGATGCCATAAAACTATATTTAACTCTCAAATAAGGTGTGAGGCTCAGAAAAACCCTCCTGTTTTAAGCGCAGTGCATTCCGCTGGAAAAACGCCAACGTCCCGTTTAACTTTCCTTTGTGGTTCTATGTGCATTGCAGGCTGTTTTATACGCAAGAACGCAACTTGACAAACAAAACCTCGTACACTTTCTATCTTTTGAGAAAAGCCCTGTCGTAATACTTGGGATTAATCATGGTCTGTCAGAAATGAAATTTCAGAATACTTCGCCGAGCAAACCAAAAGCAACAGTATTTGTTTTATACTTTTCGTGCTTTCAAGCGCTTGCAGACGTGTAAACGGGGATTTTGTAGAGACTCGATGGAAAACATGCAAAAATAAGTTGAACTGCCAAGTGCTCTGTTACTTCTGATATGAAACTCGTTTCCCTTAGAACATATTATGAATGAATTAGGGGTTTTCATCTGGCCAGAATAAGAGTTCATCTGAACACGACTTCAAATCCTGGCGCATTTTATTGGTGTGGACAGTCAATAACTTGATACTTGTCTCCTGAATGATCAGATCTAATTGAATGTTGATCTGTAATCAAGAGTCAGACAAGTCTGCAGCTGGAAAACGAATATCAAAACCCTCATTAGATGACCATAGAAGCTAAGCTTTGCAGAGATACCAACTCGCAAATTACCGAGTACACAAGAATATTTGTAAGTATATTGCACTTGAGATTTATAGGTGAATTGTTTGACCATACATTTT